CTTATTTTTGCCTGATTTTTTGCTGATCTCTTGTGTGTTGTGTTGTTGACTAACTCATAAACGTAATCGAAGACCTGTGTTTGAGTAGTTCTAGATATTCATAGAGGGGCAAGCACAAAACCTTTGTTTGAGTAGTTCTAGATATTCATTATTGAATGCCAACGCTACCTTTTACCTCTAAACACCGCAACATATATCATCCTACAATAATATAATGAGATACTGTTTAGCATCAAGTTCTTTTTGTGTATAATTATATGTTTAGTTGATTTTTTTCTTTTTTATTTTTGCATTATGTTCACTCTAACAAACCTTCTTTGTGCTATTCGGCTCAGAAGTTTGGTTGTAAATGATTCTTCAGTAATTCTTTCTGACGATTAATACATTTTAGGCACAACTTAACTTATATTTTTTAGGCATGGGAACATATGATTGGTGCCATTTACTAGTCGGGATGATAGATTCAAATGGTGTAGTACATTGAGTGGAATATTTTTCCAATAAGAAGAAATCATTAGAAACTGTAAAAATGGGGGGAGTCCGAAACTTGAGTACACACACAAAGTACACAAAGGTAGAAATATTAGAGGAAATAGCGTCATAAGATCCGGTATAGTACACAACAATCATGCTTCAAAATTACATATAGTGATCAAAGTGAAATCTCACATCAATACTCCATTTCAATCCTTCTATGAGAACAAGAACAGCTGACAACTACGACCTCTTATTACTGGCTAGAGACAATATCATATTAAATTATAAATTTTTAGACTAGAACTGGTTAAGTAGTCGATGTGTTTGCTATGTCAATGACAAACCGATAGCGGACATCCCCTTTCGCTGGTCACTCCATAGCTGTGTTTACATAGTTCATTGAAATAACTTTAACAACTGTAGTTATATTGTGCTTCCCTGCAAAATCTATCATTTCTTGTGTCTCCTTCATGCCCCCTGTCACGCTTCCTACTATAAGCTTCCTCCTTATAATTGAAAAATCACTTAGATTTCATCACAAGTGAATTCGACCAAACCAAAAAAAATTTTTTTGGACTTAACTAATTTTAATTTTTTGACTTAACCAATCTATCGACCATCATTGGTGAGCTTGACAGCATGCACCTATTAGTGACTTTGTATTTGTGTCAGAAATGTGAAACTTTTCTTGTTTGAAGAAATGTCTTGAATCTATTTATGATATCAATCTTGTGAACATTACATTTAACTATTATTTTGTCATTTGAACTTTGGTCCCTGTACAGATTTTTCATTAGTTCATAAATTCATTTATCCATTATGATCGGTTATTTACTTATTATTTCATTTACCACCAAAATTACTTTAGCGGAATCATATGATAACAAAAACTTTCTGATGCCTGGGAAATAGTTTTTTTTTTAATGGTGAGAAAGAAAGAATGAATGAGAGGCTAGCTGCAATACATTTTCTTTTGTGTTGTATTGCTAGTTTTTATGAAGATTGCTTTCTAGAAAGCCTTATAAATCTCGAAATAGGAGACTTCCCAAAATAATCTCAAAACCAATAATATTAGCCTGTAACTAAGACCCCAGCAACTCAGAAACACCCATCAAAGTTGCTGATTTTTGCTCTCTGTAGTTGCTGATTTTTTTTGCTCTCTATATATCTACTGAGTTGTTGATTTTTTGGGGGCATGAAAAATGTATGTTAGATCTATGATTTCTATACTTTACATTGGGAAATTATTATGATTGTCTGTGGGTGTAGATGGTCAATTTGAATGTCAATCAGAACCTGGATAATGCTGATGTTATGGAAATTGAACCAACCAAAGTTGATCAACCAAGGCCTACTAAGAATGAGACAATTTTTATTGAGTTAATGGATGAACAAGTTGCCTTGAAAAATAGGCCAAATACCACTTTCACTCGACAGTCATGGAGCTACATACTTCAAGAGTTGAAACGAAGGACTGGCTATGCATATACCCATGAGCAACTTAAGATTTAATGCTCTAAGACAAGTTTGGAAGGATTTTCACAAACTAGTTATAAACACCACAGGGGCTGGTTGGGATCCAGAGAGAGGGACTATGACTTTTCCAAATGATGTTTTGGGACAATTTGATCAAGATATAAAAAATTTTATTACTTATATGAGAATTTATATAAAAATTCTATTGTTAACTAGTTTCCTATCACTCATCTATTTATAGGTCAACAAGCGAGCAAAAAAATTCAGGAAAAAAGGTTGCCCACATTATGAGGCATTGTGTAGAATCTACCAGGACACAACAGCAAGCAGTAAACATGCTCACCCATCAACCAAACCTCCATCTGACAATGAAGAGGAACATGATCCTAACCATGACCCAAAAGATGAGGAAGCTAATGATAATGATGATGATAACCCAGTGGATAACAAACGTAATCGAATCCGATCTACCACTCCAACTAGTTGCCGACGACCAAAAAGAGAAACTTATGGGCGTGCCCTTACCAGTGCACTCATTGTGTTAGCCGATTCTGCTAAACTTAAGGCAAGCTATTGCGAGAAAAAATTGGCAAGTGGTGGTGAGTCATCGACTTGTGTGGAGTCCTTAGAAAATTCAGTCAGTACAGATGATCCACATAAGGAGATAATAAAGGCTTGCATGACTGCTTTGAACTCTCTCGAAGACATTGATGATGCAGCTTACACAAAAGCTATTAAACTGTTGCGTGATAATGTAATGTGGCGAGAGTTGTTTCTTTCAATGCCTGAAAGTAAGAGGGGTGTGGTGCTAAATCTGTGATGTTCTTGTGCTTGCAATGGTGTCGTATAATATTATGTTATGTTATGTACGCTTTCTTTTATTAGGATTTATATGTAATGGTACTCTTTAAATGTTATGTTATGTTATGTTATGTATGTTTTCTTTAATTAGTATTTGTATGTAATGGTACTCTTTAAATGTTATGTATGCTTTCTTTAATTAGGATTTATATATAATTGTACTCTTTTTTAATATTACATCAAGTACTATTTTTTTATATTGCATCATGAACTTGGACGATTTGATGGAAATGATGGAAGAGGAAGATGAGGAGTATATTGTCGAGATTGTTGTGTTACTATTGACGGAGGAACTTGACAATTGACGGAGGAACTTAACAGGCTCTCTTCAAAACAACCATGTAGAACATCTCAACTTAAGGGTCATGACTATGTCATAGAATTAATTAATGGACATGAAAATAGGTACTATGATCAGTTCAGGATGGACCATAACGTGTTTGTGTTATTCTGTGAGGAACTAAAAAGTAAAGGGAATTTAAATAACTCGAGGTATGTGACAGTTCAAGAACAAGTGGCTATATTCTTATTAATTATATCTCATAATGAGAAAATTCGAATAGTAGCTAAGAGGTTCCAGCATTCAAGCCATACTATCCATTTTTACTTTCATCGTGTCTTTAAGGCTGTTTGTAGACTTGGTGTCCATATTATCAGACCTCCTGATTTCAATATTATTCCACTTCAGATTCGATACAATCCTAAGTACTATCCATTCTTTAAGGTAAGATATATTTTATTATTTGTTATGCACATGATTTATTCATATTAACGGTTTATGTGTCGTGTTAGAATTGTATCGGCGCTATAGATGGTACTCATGTTGACTCGCGTGTACTGGTGGATGACCAAATACCATATCGTGGAAAAAAAACTGAACCAGCACAGAATATAATGTGTGCATGTTCATTCAACATGCGATTTACTTTTGTGATGAGCGGTTGGGAAGGAACCGTCAATGACTCAAGAGTATTTATTAAGTCTCTTCATGACCCAGAAAATAACTTCTCAATGCCTGGAGGAGGTATTTATTCAATTGTACCCTTATTTTTGTTTATACAAATTATCATGTTCATTTACAAGTGTACTGTTTGACAGATAAGTATTATGTTGTTGACTTTGGATATACGAGCATGCTGGGTTTTTTGTCACCATATTATGGAGAGAGATATCATTCACGTGAGTATAGAGGTAGTGGCCGACGTCCAAGAAGTAAGAGAGTTATTCAATTACCGTCACTCATCTCTTCGGAATATGATTGAACGTTGCTTTGGAGTACTTAAGGCTCGATTTTCCATTCTCAAGCAGATGCCCCCTTATCCCATAAAAACACAAAAATACATACCAACAGCTTGTTGTACCGTGCACAACTTTAGTAGAATGCATGCTCGTCAAGATCGATTGTTTGATGAGTTCAGTGATGAAAATAGGGATTGAGATCGACTTCACAAAACCCAATTGAAGTAGATATCAGTCCAAACCAACTTGGTCAGATGGCTCGTGTGAGAGATGGCATTGCTAATGAATTTTGGGCAAGACTGTATGAGCATTGATAGACATTATTGTTGTTGGTGCTTATGAATTATGACTTTTGTTGTTGGTGATGCTAACTTTAGTGTGGTGTTATTAGTATTAAAATAACTATGAAGTATGAGATACTTATGTGGAATGTTTGAAAATCATGGGATATATTTGTAATATGTTTGAAAACTATTGGATGATCAATTATGGATTGTTGTTCTAACATTTTAATATGATGTAATTATGTTAATGTATACAAGTTAGTCAACAAAAATAAAAAAATTCAAGTGTCACATTCAAATGAGTTTTCTATTTTTGTTTTTAGATTTTTTTACAACTATAAAAACAACCAAACACGTTTTCTGTTTTCATTTTTTGCTAACGAAAATCTAAAACTGATTCTGTTTTTCATTTTTTTTAAAAATTAAAATTGTAAACATTACCAAACGAGCCCTAAGTTATCAAATTCAAATCCCACCACTAATAGAATGCTCTATCCCAGCAAGCACTGAATCACCACCACTATTACTCCAATAAAACCATAACTAGACAAATTTACACAAAAAAATGTCAATACCCTAAAATTTCTTCACCGCAATCGGTATTGAAATAAAAATTGAAAAATACTAAATCAAATAAAATCTTGATATTGAACAATATCCAAATCAAGCCAATTGACAACTCTGAATAAGGTCCATAATTGTTAACTTATCTGCCAAACAATGATTTGTGACCCTGACATTGTCCACAAAAATCAATCTCTCCACTGCATCAACATTATTAACATCTCAAGTCACAGTAATCAGATATTCAATATATTTGTAGTGGGTTTTAAATACTAACCATTAAATTCCATCTCCAAACCAAACAAATTTTTCATTTTTGTTCCATCACTAAGTTCTAGTGGAAGTGTACAATAAATAACAAATACCCATACGAATCAACTAAAAGTGTTAATCGTAAAGTCAAAAAAAAATTATTTACGTTGTGTTCACAGTAAATTCCAACACATTAAAACCATTTTCATTTACTATGCTTCACCTTAAATTCAGCCTATTTACCAGACTAAGCTCAGATACACAAACAAATCCATTTCCACTCCTACAACCATCCATTGAACCAAAATCATGCCAAACTCAAATGTCTCTATGTGTGTGTGTGTGTGTGCCTGTGNACCATCCATTGAACCAAAATCATGCCAAACTCAAATGTCTCTATGTGTGTGTGTGTGCCTGTTCTAAGGTAAGGTGAGGTGGGGTAGGGAGGGGAGGGGCTTGTATAATGACATATAAACGCATCTATATTCATTTCCCCATAAGTTCAAACCATAAATGAAACTGAGTATACATTTTCAAATACCCATGCATTCACAAACAAATCACCATTTCATAAACCAAATCCAGAAAATGCACACAAGCGGAGACATGCAAAATCTCCCACATACATATACGCGCGCGTGTAATTGCAATGTGAATGCAATAGTACCTTGAGAGAGAAATTGAGGGCAACAGAGGGGTAATACCGAAGAACACTGCTACCGTTACCTCTCCAGAGAGAGAAAACGCCTTCTTCCCTGACCGTACGGACAATACAATCAAGCATCCCCTTGAATCTCCTGTGAGGACCAGCCACAATGGCTATGTTGCTCTCCTGGGTTTGTAAGAGAAGCTTTGCCCTCTCTATTGGGGCCACAATCGTGTGCACAACACCACCCATCACCGCCCCAGCCATCAGATCTCTGTGAAAATTTGTCAACCAATTTGATGTGCCTGACTTTCTTGAACTGGGTTCTGATTCGCTGCTTTCCTCTCCCCCATCGTCCTCCCCCACCATTCTCTGAACATCCACTAATTCTCTCTATTTCTGTCTCCGAAACACACGCACACGCACTATGTTTCGCTAAAAAGTATGCCACAGTTTCTATGGGTATTGTATCTTAGATTTTTTTTGGTTCTCATTCGGGAAAGAAAAGGAATGTTCTGGTTTTCGTGATTATTCAGACTCGATAATTTTGAGGTATCCGGTTTATACCCTTGTGGTTTGGATGTCTAGCATATGACTCCTTTATGATTTGGAAATCAACACATGCTGCTCTCATATTTTTGAACTAAAATGTATAGCTAACACAGGTAACAATGATAACAAAAAGACTATCTTGCCCTCTAAACAAACTTCACCCCCACATCTCCTCCGCACCGCTACGCCTTCAACCATTGTGCACCACCACTGATATCAAATCATCCGTCATTGTCGACAAGCACTAAATCACCACTACTCATCATCATTTTACACCACAAACACCGCATCATCCTTATCCAATGCACACAACCAATGCAACACCCTCCACTATGTCACTAACCCCCCCGGGTGTGATCACCACACAGAGACCAAAGGAGATGTGTCCAAGTCCTCTGCCGACTCTAGACAACGACACAACACGGTATGAAAATTCTTTAATTAATTCGAAAGATGTCTTCAACCACAATAGAGCATAAGATTTTACTTAGAAAAAATGTCTTCAAGAAAATGGTCACCGATATTGCCTTCATTCCAATGCAAATCATATACAATATTCAGCCAATCAAATAAATTTTGGTAAAATAAAAACCCAATTATACTTCATTAAAAATCAAACTTAGAAAGAGAGAGAGAGAGATGTGCAGCAGTGATGGGTGTGGCAAGGCAATGCAGATGTGGTGGTGCTTAAATCTGATGTGGTGGCGATGACAGTGGCTTGCGGTGGTGATGTGGGTTTGTGGTTGTGGTGGATCACATTTTGCATGTATGTTGAGGCGCTGGTGCACTGTGTGTATGGGAAAGGGGTAGTGTATGGGTGATGGGCGAATGGAGAGGTGGCGGTGGGCTGTGGAGGGATAAAAAGGGAAGGCCGGGAAAAGGTATAGGGGGAGAAAGAAGGGAGAGGAGAAGCGTGTTGCGCATGCCCTAGTGTTGTGCTAGTGTGTGTGTCACCGGTAGGCCCGATAATTTTAGACATGATACGTAAAATCAACACGAATTCAAATGAGAATTAATGNAAGGGGTAGTGTATGGGTGATGGGCGAATGGAGAGGTGGCGGTGGGCTGTGGAGGGAAAAAAAAGGAAGGCCGGGAAAAGGTAGAGGGGGAGAAAGAAGGGAGAGGAGAAGCGTGTTGCGCATGCCCCAGTGTTGTGCTTGTGTGTGTGTCACCGGTAGGCCCGGTAATTTTAGACATGATACGTAAAATCAACACGAATTCAAATGAGAATTAATGAATTTGAGTGTAGCCTTAATAAGTTTGAATGATTAACGGGTTAACTTGATAGACCTGTAAAATAAATAAATCGATTTCGTATTTAACTCATATATTCGTTTCAACCCGTTTAACCTGAATAATAGTATTATAAATTTATTTTANCCTGTAAAATAAATAAATCGATTTCGTATTTAACTCATAAATTCGTTTCAACCCGTTTAACCTGAATAGTAGTACTATAAATTTATTTTTAAAAAAGTTAGGTCTCTCAATCTCTGGCACATCTCACACCTTTTATTTCTCAAACTCATTTAAATTTAATAGTCATTTAATGTTTATTTTTTATCTTTACTTTTTTGTTCAGTCATTATTTATTTTTACGGTAAACAGGTCAAATATATGTAATATGTGTTGAGTTGATAATTTTTCGTGTGAACTCGAAATACTCAAATCTATTTCCTTATTTAACAGGTGACACACGAGTTTTATCGGGTAACCTGTCTAATAAACGATTTGTGTATAGGTGTGATAGTTAAACTCGTTTATATAAACGAATGAGATATAAATAGAAGAATTTTTTGACATAAACCCGTTTCATTCGACACGATTGCTAAGTCTCCCAGAGTGCTTTGTGTGTCTATGCGCGGGACAAGGGGGTTGCCGGGCTCGAGCACTGTTGGGGATTAGGGGTTTGTTTTAAATCTGATAACAAAAATGAAGATGCTGAAGGAGGATGAGTAGGAAGGGTAATTTTATATTTTAAAAATATTTTAAGGGTTTATTTGTCTTTTAAGTTTTATGAATTAAATTTCTTGCAAGACCAGTCTCGATTGAGGCATGTGTCTTGCAGTTTCCATCAATTTGGAAGGAAAAGCTAACAATTGCAATTTAGTCCAAAAGTATAAGATAGTTATGTGTTGATTTCCAAATACTAAGGGGTCATGTACTAATGACCCAAACCACAAATAAGTAAACTAGATTTTACCCTAGTTTTGAATTCCTGCCCCTGCATAGGTTTTGAAGGAGTCAAATAACCAACAGATGGCACCAATGCCCCTGAAGCCCTATTTGTTGGCCTTATAATGAGGGCATAAAATATTAAATTAGATTATAATTTGTTTAATCATTAGTTAATGGACATAAAACAAAACAAACTCACAAAAACTAACAAATGTGAAAAACTTTGCAAACGAAAAAATACCATTGAACCCACGAATACAAAATTTGCTAAACTTCACATGGGCTATTTGGGTTTAAATAATTAGAGCATCAAATTAACTATTACGCTAATTTTTTAACCCAATTAGGTTTTCATATAATAACGTAATAGTCATGATTATCACACATACTTATTACAATCAGTAAAAATTCACAAATATAGTATTTTCTTAAGGTTGTTGCGGAATAAAATTATTTATACCAATGAAACATCCTTTTCATCGGGAGAACAACAAAGAAAAATGCCAAAAACCAACAAAAATGAAGATTCATGCAGTGAAAAATAAAACACTCAAAAGTTTTAAAAATAACAAAAAATCATAGATTCTAGAATAAAAGAACCCAAACAATCTTAAATCCAACTGAATATAAGAAAGAGTTAATATAACCACATGATTATCAAAAATTATATGAACAGCCGCGTAAAAGCATATTGACCTCACTGTCCAGTATTTCAATTAAATCTTGCCAAGTTGAAGATATTGAGATAAGAATTAGCATAACAAATTGTCAACAAGTAAATGAGCAAGTCCCATGAAGTATGTGCAATTAATTAAAGGAGATTGATTGCCCCATTAAGCATGTATCATGAGCATTTGCTCAGCGAGATTGATTATCCCATTAAGAATTGAGCGATAAATATCTTTATTCGCCAATTTTTTTTTTTTCCTGCTTAACATTGTGGTGTACATAAAAACCTAAAGTTCAAAGAGATCACCATGTATCAAACAATACTAGGATCAAATAAATTAACACAACAAAGTGAGTAAGTTAAGTTACGAGGGTCCAAATATATATTCACCAACTAATAATTTTTGATAATCGGCAATGAAAGGAACTCGATGGATTCAAAAGTGAAAAAACTTTGTTATAGTCATGAGGACACCAAGTTAAAAAAATCCAGAGCACCAAATGAAGAGCAAATCAAGATTCCAAATCACCAAATTGAAATTGAAAAATCAACATTGTTCTTTTTGTAAAAAGAATGAATTGAATGTGTGTGGTATGTGCTGGATGGCTAAAATTTTTATTTGCGAAAGTTTGGGAAAAATCTGGGCTCCAGGTACGGGTACCTAGTGTCACAAGTACCGGTATCTTGTTAGCAGTGGGCTTAGGTACCGGTACCACACTGTTGAGGTCCCAAGTACCAATACCACGTTTACAGATGTTGGTACTTGGCAAACAAAAGACTCAAGTACTAGTACCAAGTACATGAGGTGCCTGTACCTCTTCACAAAAAATTGAAATTTGAAATTTGACCTTGCCAAGCTTTCACCTCTTAAGCTCTTTTGTTTAAATAATGTAATTGATGAAAGGTTAAGGACAAATGGATGGAGATTGGACCTTGGTATGGTCATGTGATGACGTGGTGTCGGGTTATGCGACATGCACGGGTACTTTCCGTAGTTTGATGGAGAATCAACGAGTTAATAAAGGACCCCTATTTTTAGGGGCGTCACAGTTTGGTATCAGAGCCTAGGTTCTCAATTTACCTAGGGCTTATAAGGCATGGGTTTGGGCCATTACATTCATTGTGCATTGCAAGTTAAATGTGTTAAATGCTACATGCTACATGCTATGTCTTATGTGAATTATATGCATGATTGAATTTGTATGGAAATGAGACACTAGGGTAAAAAAATATAACCTTGGGATCTGAAAAAGGAAGAAACGGAAAGGTTTGTGGTTAAATGTGTCTACTAGTGGGGGCCAAACATATTACTAGCGAGACAAGGAAAGAAATCTCAATATTTTGACTTAATCTCTAACATCGGGATGCTAAGCTAGTGTTGTATTGCTATCTTATGTGTTTGTACATGGCAAGTAGAGAAAGGGAACACCGAAATGGTAGAGGGGGTGGATAGAACAACAATCAACTACCGTTGACCTTTGACCAACAAGTTTTTATGGAGGCTATAGGCACAATGGCGGCTACATTTGTACAAACTAGAACCAACATAGGCCAAGGGGGTTCAAGTAACCCCTAAAAGTTTAGGGCACATAAGCCACCTACTTTCATGGGCAGGGAGGATTCGATGGTGGCTGACCATTGGTTCTCACAAGTTGATAAGATCTTAGAGACTATGGAAATCACGTTTGATGCCACTAAGATAAGGTTAGTTGCATTCCAACTTAAGGGAGAGGCCCATCTATAGTGGGATTGGGCAAAGGTCTCGAAGAATCTAGAGACAATGACATGGAGAGAGTTCTGAGAGCTCTTCATGGGCAAGTATTTCCCATCGGTTGTTCGACAAGCAAAAGCTTAAGAATTCTTGGATTTAAAGCAACAGAACATGATAGTAATAGAATACGTGGCTCAGTTCACCGAGTTAGCCTGATTTGACGATGACTATGTAGCCATAGACTTGGTCAAAGTGAGGAGATTCGAGTATGAGTTGAAGTTGTCCATCTTGAGAAAGATTGAGGGTCACACCCTACAAGACTTGGACTCAATGGTAGAGACGACCATAACCATTGAGAGAGAAATAGAAGATGCCAAGAGCATCCAGGAGGCGAGTGCTAAGGACAAGAAGAAAGAGGGTCAATCCTCTTCTTTTTGTTTGGAGAAAAAGCAAGAAACTTCCACCAACCAAGGGTATCAAGGGCAAGACCATGGCTATCAAGGCCAATGCC